ACTAATGGGCTTATCAGGGGCAACAAGCTTGCAAGAGCCCTTCCCTTTAGAAATGGGCTTGAAATAAAATCTTTGGAATCAGGGGGTATCTTAAACATTACTAAATACCTCTTAAGCAACTCAACGGGGAATACAGAACTAGACGATTGTAAGATAATGACTTCAACGCCTTTACGGAGCTGGTCATTCTTGCTTTTCAAAACCTTAATAATCATGAAGCCTTCTTTAAAGGAAATATCTCTTCTTCTAATTCTAGACACATCGTCAAACCTAAAGAAACCGGCAAAAGATAAAACATACATAGAAACATTACGCAACTTTACAGGGTTATCTAAGTCTGATTTCTTAATGTCGTGGATTAAAAGGGCCGAAATAGGTTGTTTACGACTAAGGACACTGGTACCATGAACTCTTTTGGGCGCCGTACTCATGGCTTCAGCAATTGCGTCATCAGTTAGGGAGGGGATTCCTGCCAAGTCAGAGGCCCGTTTTAAGCCATAGAAAGCAGAATCGACCGCGCTAGGGGAGTGGGTTTCCACTAGAAGACGCTAGATTAGTGGGTTTCCTCTAGAAGATGTTGTAAATACAAAACCACATGAAAAAAGCTAGCGAGAAAGGCTTTCCCGTTTAACTTATCATTTGCAAACTGATTCCATCCGTAGAAAGCTCGGTTGTATACTATAAAAGTTCCATTTGCTTTGCAAGAGAGTACAGTCGTCTTCAGTCGATCTTTCAGTCCCTCAAGCAAGTCGTCAAGCGGTCCGTCCCGGAATGCCCAAAATCCCGAATGAAAAATATCCAAACGAGAGTTAAAATAAGGCAAAGTGAGGAGTACAATCCAACAAGAAATAACTAAATAAATAGATAAATGAAAATAGGATAACCGGGAATAATCAAACTCCAACAGAGAATACATAGACAACTGAAATCTGCAAAGTGGACCACAAATGGGTTCCTTTCATTTCAAACAATGCTGAATAAATTCTTGACACAAACTCGTGTCATAACGCAATATTGACGAGCAATTCTATGATTTAAGTCACTTCAAGCCTGAGTAAGTGCCAAACAACCCATAAGCTAAGTACAAAGGACTTAGAGCAATTACGCTGGGATTGACTGAAACAAAATCATATTTGCACCCAGAAGAGAAAACGTCCGCGGTGAATACAAAAGCCCGCCGGGCTAGTTACAACGATCACAGTCTTTACTGAACTTCGTACAGAAGCCTACGTAAGCGCAGAAAGATCTGGGGCGGCGAAAATCAATTCGAAGGGCTGTAGCATCAAAGTCCAGGGCCTGGAACCGAAAAGCGAGTTTCGGGTTTTCCCTCTAATAACTTGCTGAGGATTTTATAGTTTCTGACTTCATCAAACCGGCTGTGGAAAAAGTAGCGGACCCAAATCAGTTCGGAACGGTATTTGGATCATCCACTGTACTGGCACTCATAAGCATGATACACAATTGGCTTGAAGCAACAGACGGAAACGGAGCGTCAGTTCGGGTCCTTCTTTTTGATTACCGAAAGGCCTTTGACCTAATAGATCAGTCCATCCTAATATCAAAACTGAATCAACTGGACATTCCGAAGAGCGTTATTAACTGGATAGTTGACTTCCTTTCAAATAGGTCTCAGAGAGTTAAACTTGGCAATGACTGTTTCTCTTAGTGGAGCAAAGTGCCTGCTGGAGTACCACAGGGAACCAAACTGGGCCCCTGGCTTTTCCTTTTAATGATAAACGATTTGTCAGTTTCGCTCGACATTTTTAATCTGTGGAAATACGTTGACGATACGACGGTATCAGAAACCGTCCCGAAAGGAAAGATTAGTCACGTGCAAAGTGCAGTTGACCAAGTACAGTCCTGGTCTGAGGAAAATCTATTTCAATTGAATTGCGCAAAAACCAAAGAACTGTTGATCAGCTTTAGCCCTCAATACCCCCATTTTCCCAAAACCAACGTGGACGGGGAACAAATTGAATCTGTGCAGTGTGTTAAACTTCTTGGACTCAATATTAATTCAACTCTAACTTGGAACAACCATATTACAGAAATAATAAAGAAATCCAACTCAAAACACTATTTTTTGATTCAACTTAAGCGGGCTAAAGTACCTACAATCGATCTTGTAGCAATCTATTGCGCAACCATCAGGTCCTGCCTAGACTACGCCTGCCCAGTGTTCCACCATGCACTTCCGAAATATCTACAAGTCGATATGGAGAGAGTGCAGAAAAGAGCCCTCGCATGCATCTTCCCTGGAGCATCATACAAAGAAGCCCTCGATCAAGCAAACATCCCAAGCTTGAGAACCCACCAAGAACAGTTGACATCGACACTTTTCCGATCAGTTTTAGAAAACAAAAACAACAAAATTCATTCTTTAATCCCAAAAAGTTATCAGGCTAATTACAATTTTAGGAAACAGAGGAATTTCAATCTTAATCGTTGTAAGACCGACAGAGCGGCAACAAGTTTCATAAATATGTGTTGCAGAAACAGTTTGTACAATTAATTAATGTGAAGTTACGCAATTCAGTTTTATCTGCAATGTAATTTTAATAAAACACAGTCTATCTATCTCTCTCTCTATCTCTCTATCTCTCTATCTCTCTATCTCTCTATCTCTCTATCTCTCTATCTCTCTATCTATCTATCTATCTATCTATCTAAAGAGACCTGGGAAATTGGGTGAATACACCCAGTCAATTACGAAACTGTTCCATTGCACACAGTCTCTACCAAATGAAGTCCAGAAGCAAGAGGACTTCCACATGGGAAGGATAACCGTTCCTCTCGCCTTACACAATTCCGTGTGCTTTACCACTCTAATTAATAGGTACACTGGAGGACAAATCCAATCATTATCGTGCCCCCAATCTTGGAAGAAGGCATCTACTACTACACAGCCATTCTGAAAAACTCTCAGTGTTAAATCTTGGTACCTTAGCGTTATAGGAACAAGCAAATCGGTCAACGGTGTGGGGCCCCCAAAACAGGTTAATTCTTTGAAAGATAGCTTCGTTAATGGTATAGTCATCATAATCGGTT